TGTGTTGGCAACGATTTCAATTGAAAACTGCATGACAGCTTTCGAAAGAGGTGATTTGCAATTTTTAAAAGGTAAATTAGGTCTTGAAAGAAGAGTTTTTACATGATTCGCAATGATAACAGTTCAAATGTATTTTACCAAATCACGCAATAAACACGTTGTTTTTCTCTTGAGTAGCGTGAACTGATCGTGAACTCCGATTTGACCATGTTATATCGAGGTGGAATTGATTTTGAAATAATTTTAGCTTTCAATCTGAAGACTGTGTCTATCGCAGAAAGTATTTACTTACAAACAAAGAGGTGCTAATTCCACAAATTTGACTTACCGCTACGTATCGTGCGACTAGGTCTATTGTTTATAAATTATAATCCACGACTGGCAGGATGCGTGTCGGTCGGTACGTAATTATACCAACAATCAGACAATAGTCCTCGTCGGAAGCAGTTCCGTGGTGGTCACTAATTTTGAGTGACAGTCGGGGTCGACCGGCGTGGTGAACAAAGCTTTTTTACATCTGATATTGGCATGTCAAATATGAAATCAAGCGCCGAGGTGGGAACACATAGCGCCGAGGTCCCAAGTGAAGCGCCAAGATTCACAGGTATAGCGCCGCGGACCTCGGCGCTAAAAAGCCCTGGGGAGAACCCTGGGAGTGCTAAACAGTGTGCTTTGTTAGTTTAAAAAAATGGAATGTCTGTCAAATTGACGTAAACTTCCTCATTTTTCATGGAAAAAGCAAAGGTCGTGGCCAAGTTGCAGGCTAAAAAACTCAAAAATCAAAACAAAATCATCAATCAGTAAGTATTATGACAAGGAAAACAAAACATCAGACGCGGAGAAGCGGTCAGCGCGTCAAAAGAGTTGTTACCGTAATGTATCAAGTTACCTCTCTCTGTGATTTATTTTTCATTGAAATTATTTGCTTGTTTTCAATTAATTTTAGCGTACCTCTGCAATTTATTTTAGCATTGTCAGTTGTTTGCTTCATTGAATTAAACAAAGTTCGACCGGTTGCAAACAAAGCTGTCTCGCACCACCTAGCAAAACTTGCGAATGATCGAAGTACAGGTACCCATTGGACAAAAGATACACAAAAGTTTGTATCTCCTTGACCCAGTGCAATATATCCGGTTAGAATCAAAGCTCACGTGCCCCTTATTTGAGGGACCAGATTCTGCCGTAAATTCGGAATGGGATTTAGGAAAAAA